CTTTAATACTAACGATACTAACAATACTAACAACATGTTTATTTTTTCCTTTCTCTTTATTTCTTTATTCTTTTGTTCAATTACTTTGCAGGTATAGAAATATTTATTTATTAATACTAATTATTTTAATATTAACGTGTTTTTTTTTACCTCTTTGTTACTTTATTATGTCGTAATACTAACAATACTATCTACGTTTCCTTTATTTCTTTTTACTTGTACTTTAATACTAACGATAATATCCATGTTTTTTTTACTCTTTTTACTGTTTCTTTAACTCTTTTTACCTTAATACTAGCTAACAATAATAACAATATTTCTTTTATCTTTATATCTAATACTAACGTTACTATAGCTGTTTCTCTTCTTTTTACGTCTATTACTTTTTACTTTTTCTTCTTTTTACTTTTATGTATTCTGTATATATTTGTAATTTTTTTATGGTTTAATAATATCTAATAAAACATACATTATATAAACTTATAGTACAGAAAATGAAGTATTACTTATTGAAATATTTTGAAACATTACGAAATATTACGTTGTGTAAAATCACAGAATATTAAGGTATGGAGCATTACGCATCGTAATATTTCGAAATATTTTAAAAAGTTACAAAATATTACGTTTACGCAAACTTGTGGCGGGTCTGAAAACTTACGAAATATTATGTAAAATTACGGAATATTACAAATCGTAAAATTACGAAGCTTTGCATATCGTAATATTTCGAAATATTTTAAAAAGTTACGAAATATTACGCTTACGCAAACTTGTGGCGGGTCTGGAAACTTACGAAATATTATGATGTGTAAACTTGCGCAATTTTTCGCACTATATAATTTCCTGATGTGATGAGTACGAAGTTTCTTTGAAGAATTACATTGAGAAAACAATCCAAGAACAAGTGGCGCAGTTTGAGTCATCAGAATTAGCCAATAATACGCCAGTATCAACACAAGTATAGCCAATAGAAACGGAAATTTTTGAAAATGTCGAACATTAATCAATAAATATAGAACATGATGATCAAAATACCGAATACCAATCAAAGAACGTGATTGTAGAATCTTTAACAAAAAACTCTAAACAGAGTTTTACAAAATTGAATGCCAAAGCCATACTTTATATCCCAAAAGGAAAAGAACGTACTATTACGTTTGCAGAAATAGTCTCCAGGAATTTAAATGTAAGCAGCAACCGTAATACTTCTCTGACTCCATCTGATAATAAGCAAAAAGTTAACGTGATCAAGCAAATAGCATCAGATAGCAAGGCTTAGCCAGTTAAGAAAAAATAACAACGCGTTCCTTCAAAAGAAATTCAATCAGTAATGACCGGATATGATCCAGTACTTAAGAATAACGTTTGGGAAATTATTCTTTACGACATTCCCTCCATCTAGGCTTAGCTCGAACTTCTTCAGTATTTTGAGAAATATAGGTTACATGATCGCTTTCAAGACTAAACATTAGAAGAAATATTTAATGGTCACCATATCAATCAACTTCAACGAGTGAGCAATAAATCTATGGAATAAAGAAGTCTGGACTGCTCCTTTAGGAGGCTTCCCTGTTTGTTGGTATCCTGCTAACTGAAATCTTCAACAAAAAAAAGAACGAGAATGATTTCAGGCTGTAGTAAAAGATTTACTTGGAACTGTCATCACTTCAATATTGTATCCTTTAGACTCTTCCCAATCATCCATAGTATCCCATTTGGAATGTAAAGCTTTCAAGGTAGTTCAGGAAAAAAATACCCGCAAACTCATCACGTATTACAAAAATTGGGCAGATTTGGATAAAATCACGAATACCAAGTTGAACTTGCAAGTATACTTTTCGTCAAAATGACAAAATACTAATTAAATTTATTTTGACAGACGTAATGTATTTTGACAGACGTAATTAATTCATAGTAATTTTATAATAAATAGTGAATTGGTCCGTTCGCCGAAATATGACGTAATTAATTAGCGGAGAAGTATACTTGCAAGAATATGAAGGTGTTTGGACTAGATACTTTTCTTCTCAACTATCTAAAGGTCGTAATCGATCACCAAAAAATGGCCAAAATCAAAAGCAGAACTAAAACTCAGCTAACAAGGTTGGAACAAATATTACAGATAACAAGATTAAGATAAGCAAGCCTATTGGAAAGAAATACGTATCTTCAATTCTAAAGATTATGAAAAAAGGTATGGACAGTAGTGAATCTGGCAAACTTACACTGTTAGCAGAAATTAGATCATTACTAAGAAGGCTTAAGAACTGACAGGATGACTACTTGGCCTTGATGACTATATGTAAATTTGTGGTAGACAGTATAATAGACTTTATATCTGTAGAATACTAATATTTTATTTTAGTTATCCCTTTTTTAATTTTTTTTTTTTTTTTACCCTGATTTATTGTTTTTGCTCCTTTTATTTTATTTTGTTTGAATGGGTTTTGTCTGCAGTAGTAGTGAGTCTTTAGGGACACTCATAGCGTAGACTGGAAGGAGAGGGTTCTTCTAAAAAAGGACGCCTATAAGGCAGATTTACTCCCCTAGCCTAAGTTCTTTACTGACAGTGCACATATGATTGCTTTGCCGAAATTAGCAGGTGGTGTATTTCTTTACTAAATTAGGATTTATATTAGTTTTACGTGTATTGTATCAACTTATTTTTTAAATCTTAATAAAGATCTATATGTGCTACAGCAAAAAAAAAAATAAAAAATAAAAAATAAACTGTATTGCAAGTAAATTTGCCTGCAATTTCTAAATTAAGATAAATAATGCTATAACTGAAAAAATTCTTTAATTTTAACATACATTTTGGCTATAAATTGTATAAATTAGATATGTAACTAATTATTAAAATTGGATAAGAAATTAACTGCAAAAATAGTATTAAATTTTATATAATAAAATTTAAACTTTTCTTATCCTATTTTTTTTATTTTAAATATTTATTATAACTTTTATTTTTATTATAAAATTTTGCATTATAATAAATAAAATAGTGATAAAAAGTTAATATATAATTCAAATGCATAATAAAATTTTCATTAAGGTTTTATATAAAGTTAAAATCCTATTAAACATTAAAACAAATTTTATAAATTCTATTAAGATTTTATATAGTTACAATTAATTATTAATGAAATCATTAAAGTTAGTAAGTGCATAGTTTTTAAAATTTTATAATTATCTTAATATACAACTTTTGACCAATGGGTTATTTTCAATTTTCTAATATATAATTAATAAATAATAATGGTTACTATACAATATATAATTTAAACTATTTTGGAAAAAAATTTTATTAATATTTGCTTTATTTTTCATAAAATTAGATAAAAGCTAAATTTTTGGCAAAATTGCAGGCAAATTTAGAGATATTTATTAATCAATAAAAAATATAAATTTTTACAAACTATACTGTATTTATTTTCTATTACAAGTATTACTAATAATATTAATTAAATTTTCTATTGTAAGTATTAGTTAGCTTTTATTATAATATTAAATTTTTTTAAAAATTATAATATCAGTTTTTATTATTGTAATAGTATTGATCTTCTTATATTAGTAAAGTTTCAAAGTAAATTTGCTTATTTTTTTTTTGAAGTAACATTATTTATATTTTTATTGTATTTTCTAAAAAAAAAAAAAAAAATTATTATAAAGAAATTATTTTTAACAAACTCTTAAAATCTTCATTCACCGTATCCTGGTATTTTTTCCGAGCATATTGGCACAAAAAGATTAGAAATGGTAATATACGCCGCCTCATAAATCGATATTTTCTCACCAGAACAGGTGATACCGTAAGTAAATTTCTTTGCTTATACCATTTTTAGAGCGAAAAAAAAAAAAAAAATTCTCATAATTGTCGTGCACGTTTATCCTCAGAATTACCTTATTTGAACAGAAATTTATGACATAATGTGATAACAAAGATCTGAGTTAAATCGTTAAAATCGCAATCACATGAACCTCACAATTTATAAAAAAAAAAATTTTTTTCAAGTATCCTTTTTTTATATATATAATTTAATAATATATCGAGCTTTTATTATCTGTTAAAATAATAAACCTAATTTTTTTTTTTGTTCACACAAAAAAACAAGTAGTTGACTTCACATTATTATAATAATTTTTTTTTAAAAAAGAAAAAAAATTAATGAAGAAAGAAACACAAAAAAAAAAATTCTAATTAAGTCTAATAATATAGAATTCACGAAAAAAAAAGATATATATATATATGCAAAAAAAAGAATAACATTCTAAAAACTTCTTGTTTATATAAATCTATTTGTATATGCTAAAAAGTCTAATAAAATTTGTCTATGAATATTTTCTGTACATTATAACGTATATATAAACGTGTTGTTACACACAAGTACAATAAAAAAAAAACCCAGAGGAAAAAAGCAATAACGTAAAACCGTAAAACCAAATTAAGACATTGTCCATTTAGATAAAGAAACTAAAGAGGTACTAATGACGATAAATTATTGTTACGGGTAAGCAGTAATAATAATAGGCGAGAAATTAATGTAATACAAAATGAATTTTATATATATACGTTGTATATATAAAAAAAAGCCAGTAAGTAATTAAAAATAACCCGTCCGCAATTAATCATCATAAAACTGAAGTAACGGAACCCGTCCAAGACTTCATGTAATTTTTCCCAAAACAAAAAAAAAACCGCCATAAAACTTATTAGAAATATATACTAAATACTAAAGAAAAAAAAATGCGAAAAAAAAAATATAAAAGAAACTATATCTCAAATATTGATACTACACATTTCAAAATAAAAATAAGTATATGATTAGAAGAGAGAAAAAAAAAAAAAAATATTATTAATATCCAAAAACTCCTTTTTATCCTTCCTAAAATTATATATAATTAAAAAAGTTTTAAATTGGTGTAAATTGCTTCTAACTGTCGTTGATCTTCAGTATTCCTAATCTTTTCCCATGGAATATCTTGTGGAGGTAATTGATGACCATTTGAAACAGATGATGAATTTTGAGGAGGATAAGAAGCCGGAAAAGGTAATTGCTGAGGAGTTGGGAAAGTGAATCTTGATGATGGATTTGGAATATTAATAGGTTGTGAACCATTACCAAAACCATTTGAATTATTATCAGAATTTGAAGGTTGAATGAAATTTGGAGGAGGATATAATGGTAATGAAGCGGTACTTGAACCATTATGATAAGGTGAATAAATATTACGATTATTAAAATTTGGATAATCATCCTCAGTTGTTGAAGGTGAAGATGAAATTGAAGGAGTTGAACATGCAGAATTTGAATCAAATTGATGATGATGAGATTGTTGTAATTGCCAATATGGACTTGGTGAGAGAGATCTTTCGACGACAGAGCCATCACCACCGTAACTATGAGTATGATGATGATGATGATTGTGATGATGGGAAGCACCACCAGCATAGTGATGAACATGTTGTGGGACACCATCGACATTTGATGTTTCGGGGTACATACCCTTTGGAATTATAATACCTTTAAGTTTCTCATCATTCATGGGAATTTGTAATTTTTCACTGATAACATCAGCTTTAGTATAATAACATATCAAATGTAATTTTTGATGAGCAGTTGTCGTTATACTAAAAGATTGTTTAACAAGGCCTCCATGTTTATATCTGCATTGTTCAGTTGCTGAAGTTATAGATTTTTTTGCGGAATGATAAGATTCACTAGAATCTGTGTCTTCACTAGATAAGTCATGAGGGTTATTACTTGAACGAGAATTTGATTTTCGTTTTGATTCCAATTCTCTATAGGTTAGAAAACTACCGCTAACACGACTTGCAGACCAACTCTTTCCATCTGTCCAGCGTCTCATACCAGCTTCACGTTCATCCCAAACGAAGACTGAACCCGAACGTATAGATGATCGTTCCTTTTCACTAAGTCTACGTTGTATACGAGATAAAAATCCTATGCGACAAGCCTCAAAAAGTAAGATGGCATCTTGTGGTGTTTTGACGTAACCGTGATATGTTTCCATGTTTGGTAATATAATTTTATTTATTGTATATGTGTGAATATATATATGTATATATTTTTTTTTTCTATTGTATTTAAAAAAAAAAAAAAGTAGAGAAAATGATTTTCGTTAGTGGATGAACAATTTATATATATAAGAATATTGATGTACGACGAAACAATTTCCGATGTGCATTAATTTTTAAGTCATGAGAACTTTTTAAAGAAAACTCTCTTTTTTTTTTTAGCACGAGGAGGCGAACATATCTAACCTAACAATAATATAATTAAATAAACCAACTAGAAAAAAAATACTCACCAAAAGACAAAAATTAGGTTTCGACCACGAAAAAAGTTTTTTTTTTTGTGTTTCTTCTTTTCTATTAAGAGTTTTAAATGTTGAAATATAAAAGGTTGTAATATTTTTGCTTCGTTTGCTGCTTTGTTGGTGTATATATTTGTTGTGTGTAAAAGGTGTAAAAGTGAAATTAACTCTTGCAAATCCTCTAATCAATCTAGTAATATACCAAAAAAGACTTTTTTTTTTTCCTGTATATGGTGTTTTATTATATTTGTCGTTTTGTCGAAAAAGGTTGAGAGAGGTGATAAAATTTTGTATTATATGAGTGTATAATTCTATTTCTATTATGATAATATTATAATACTTTTTTTTTTCGAGAAAAAAACTTGTATTGATCAGTCAATGACCCAACACAACTTTTTACTTTTTGTTAAACGACGAAAAAAAAAAAAAAAAAAAANTTTAAAAAAGAAAAATCGAAATCTCGAAATCCAAAAAAATTTATATAAAAAAAAATAAAAATCCGGTTTAAAACCGAAAAAAATAATGAAAAAATAAAAAATAAAAAAAAATTCGGTTTGAAAAAAACCGATAAAAAAAATCAAATAACAAAAAAAGCCATAACGGGAAATTTTAAAGTTGAATATAAAAAAAAAAAATTATAAGAAAACAGGGGAGGTTTTGTTTGTTTCCGTTATACAAGTCAAAAAAAAGAAGAAAATTTTTTTTTTTTTATAAAGGTTTTAAAGTACACATATTTATACTTTCTAATCTACACTACATATAGTATAAAATAAGCTATTATGTATAGTTGATAAAGTATCTCGTAGTTATTACGTGTTAATACAAAATTTATAATAATTTATAATGAATATGTAATGTAAATATTACACATCAAAACTAAAAATAATATATATAAAAAATATATTATACATTATACATTAGATGTGCAGATTTTAATTTAATTTTATTCTAAGCTTGTTCAACGGTAACCATTATGGTATTACAAGTATTACAACTATTAACCGAGTTTTTTATTACTATCGTAAAATATTTAGTATTAGCTCAATTTTTAAAGTGACGACTAACATCGTTATTACCATAATCAGCTTACATTCATCTATAAGGATAACGGATTCCGAATTCTTTTTTTTTTTATGATATCATTTTCATATTGTTTACATTTTGGTCAGATGTTTAAGATATTTTTTATATTATTAAGCTACTTTATTTGGTTCAAAATTAAATTAAATTAACTGCGGTTTTTTTTTAAAAAAAAACGTCAAAAAATATATATTTTTAATTTACGTTAAAAAATGTATAAAAAAAATTAAAAGAAACATATTTTTTATTCAGGTTTTATTTGGCTTATTTTGCAGATTGTGTTTTTTTTTCTTTTTTTTTTTTTTTTTTAACGATTTTCAAACTAAAATAATTTTTTTATTTTTTTTTGTGTGCGTATTTGGTTTTATTTAAAGTAAAGGTAACCCGGAGAAAGAACTACGAAAAAAATTGCCTAATTTTGTAATACCGGAAATTAGTATTTTTTTTTAATAAATTCATTAAAATTCATTTTAATTAAAAATAACTTTTTTTTTTGATAGACGTCATAAAAAAAATAAAAAAAATATCGGATTTTTAATTTTAAATGGAGGAGAATGAGAATATGGTTTAGATTTTATATTGTTCCTTTATGAGAAAAGTTCATGAAGTAAATGAGTAATAAGTAATGAGTAATAAAATCGATTATAAAGGGATTATGAGGATTATGAGGTAATATAAAATATAAAAAAATATAAAAAAAAAAATAAAAAAATATAAATTTTTTTAAATATACGGACATTAGCGAAAAACTGTTTATCACGTTTATTTGATACGTTTATTGATTGTCTCGTAGTTTAATTTTACTTCCCGATTATCTCTTATTTAGAGTCTATTTGTTATTAATTACCATATTGATCTTCCAAAATTGATTTTTTTTTTCCTGGTTTTCCCTTACCTCAAATTTTTATTATATGAAAGAAAAAAAAAAAAAAAAAAA